GCCAGAGGAGGGCACTAGGTCTCATGGGTGGGTGTGAGCCACCATGTGGTTGCTGGGAATTGAACTCAGGACCTTTAGAAGAACAGCCAGTGTTATTAGCCTCTGAGCCATCTCTCCAGCCCCTAAAAAAAATTTTAAGACCAATTTTTTTTTTTTTTTACTTCTTTGTGCCCATTGCATTTCCTCCACATCCCGTCGTGCCTTGGCCAACCCATGTGTAGTTACTGTCCCTGACAGTAGTTAATGATCTATTTGGAGGATTATCTAAAGCAAGATTTTTTATCTCACCCAGCCTTGCAGTATGTGTTTAGAAGCTGTGAACAGTTTAGATTTCAGTTTAAGGGCAAAATAACCCCAAACTTACACTGTTACCCAAACCAAGTGAGTCCACCTAATTTTTGTGGATTATCTACCCACTGAGAATTAAACAAATACATAAACAAAACCATTGACAACAGGATTATCACTTAACGGCTTGTTGAAGGTGGAAGTGGGAAGGGAGGCAGCTGGAGATTGGGAGGCAGGGGGAGGGCCCTGTGGGCCTCTTGTTGGTGGCGCTGTGTCTTGGCGAGGGATAACCTGTATGTCCATTGACTGCCCCCTTAATGAGTCATGCCTGGGTGTCTACCAGGAGCTGCCAGACCACAGCCTGCCACGTATCTTTCTTCTGTTTTCTGTCCACTTAGTAAGAAACGTTCTCGTGTTTTTGGTTGGCTAAATTATATTTATCTTAATTTTTGCCAACGTGTATGCTTGCCTGTGTGTGCCACAGGGTGCCCCTGAAGATCAGAGGGCAGTCTTAGGTATCAGTCTTCACCTTTCACCTTGCCTGAGGTACGGTCTCTTGTGATTGCTGCACACACCAAGTTCGCTGTCCCATGAGCCTCTGGGAGTTTTCTTGTCTCTGCCTCCTGCTTAGGAGTTCTGGGATTATGCACACACACTACCACATCTGGCCGTATGCGGGTTCTGTGGGTCCCAGCATAGCTCCTGAATTTCTGTGGCAAGTGCTTTAGCCATTGAGCCACTTCTACCTTCAGTGGTTAAAATTTAAACAGTCATGTTTGAAATGGTCATGTTTGTACCTGGAATTTACACTCTTGTGTGTTTGGTTTTCTGTGGTTTCAATTAAGTCTAGTGTCTGAAAGTGTGTGATGGGAAATTCAAGAAAGAAATAAGTTTTGATTAATCTTTTCAGGATACCGTTTTGATTATCATTGTATATTTTAAAAATAGTCCCATATGATTATTAGTAGTCGTAATCACTGTTTCCTTTATTTAGAAATCACAAGCCACGCATGGTCATGCATGCCTGTAATCCCAACACTCTGGGAGGCAGAGGCAGGTTTATTGCTGTGAGTTCGAGGCCAGCATCATCTATAAAGCAAGTCTAGAACAGCCAAGGCTACACAGAAAAACCCCGTTTCAAAAAACAAAAAAAAAAGAAGAAAGTACATTTTATTATGTACATGCTCTATGGGTGGGCAGCAAGAAACACTCTCTTTAGGATCTTGTGCTGTCTGAGGCCACAGGCATCTACCTGGAGTTTCGAATATATACCCTAAGGATGAGGAGGGTCAGCTGCCCCAGGGTTCTTCATGCCAGAGAAGCAGGGTGTCTACGGTTCAGCTGTGGACAAGGGTAAAGGGTAGAACTCAGGGCTCAGCGGCCGTGTGATGGGGTTTGCCATTCCACCTCTTTCTGATAGCCGGTGACCCTCTCCTGTATCCCAGCACTGTGTGTGACTGTCATAACAAGCCCTGATTCCTGAGTCTCACAGGCCATCACTGCAGCAGCCTGCCTGCCTGGGATGCACTTGTTGTTCATGTAGTTCTCACCGTAGCGCTGGTTCGTGTGGCTCATCTCTAGTGTGGCTGGACCCTGGAGGCCAGCTGTGACTGTGGGTATTTTCAGTCATAGTGTTGACCATAGAAGCTGGGCAGCCACTCTGCCCCTGGGAGTGCTTGATGACAGCCTGGAAGGAGGTTGGAGTTGACACCACAGATTGTGCAGATTGTACTTACTCCTTCGGCAGCTGGATGTCTCACTTCTGCTCTGCCATCTGGTGCTTGTATTCCGCTGAGCCTTCTTCAGCTCTGCAACACACGTCTGTTGCTGCTGCAGCAGGGAGAGAAGGTGCTTAATGCAGTGTGGCTTGGTAGCTCGTCTTGGGGCATCTGCAGACCATACTGGCCCTTCCAAGGCTCCACTGCAAACAGGGCAGATGAGATTTGCATCTACACCCCCGTGAGAATGGGTTACATCACCCCTTTATGAGGTTCCCACTCCTCCGGTCAGGGCCGCTCAGGAGATGCTCCAAGTATCCCATCTTGTTGGTTTTTCCTGGCCCGAGTCTTTCTTCCTAGTGACAAGTTTCATTGCCAAGGGATGGGTGTGAGAATCCGCAGTGATTAAAGTATGGGGCCTGGCTGGAGCTGAGGCCAAGCGGCCTCAGGGTAGGGTGGTTGCTGGGTTTCATTCTTTCCTGGTAGAGGAGTCAAAGATTCTGACCACTCCTGGCTGTCCTGTAATAAGCTTGTTATCCTGGGGCACATTTTGTGTTGATACGCATGGACTGTTGACTGTTAATTGTAACATCTCTTTCCTTTTTTCCTTTGCTATTTGTGAATATAACCTTGGTTCTTGTGAGAGCTTTTAGTATACCCATTAAAAGCCCATTTCAAAATTTCTTCTCAATTAGTTTTGAAATACTGTATTTGGTTAAGAACCAATTGGTTCTTTTAGTTTCAGTATTACTGTGCCCCCTAGTGGATTTTAATGTCAGTTACCAGGCAATGGTCTTTGCCAGGTATAAATGTGAATTCCACAAAAAGGAGAGGTTGGTGGGTGTCTTCTTAGGCCCTAAGGTGATGTGCTTATTCCGTCTCTGATTTTTTTTGTTGCCAGCCATTGGTGGACTGTTTGAGAGGAGTTTAATAAAATGTAACTTGGAATTGAAAGAAATGTCTGCAACATGTCTCATATTAATCTAAATCAGAGAAACCAGTGCAGAGAATGCCAGCAACTCCGCTTCTGTGGTAACACAGTACAAGATGCTAAGTTTATTTTATGTGTATGATTGTTTCATCCGTGTTACCTATGTGTGCCACGTGTGTCCCCTGTGCTGGAGGTCAAAAGAGGGCACCAGTGTTCCCCTGGACCTGGAGCCACCATGTGGCAGCAAGTGCTCTAATCCACCGAGCCATCTTGACAGCCTCATGCAAGATGCTGGAACATACAGTCTAGGAATGAGGCTATTTGAAGCTCCTGGAGTTTTTTTGTTTAAACATTCTCTCCTGTTTTCTGAAGCCATGGTCATTAGGAGTACCACCTGATGCTCAACCCCAGTGCCTTCAGCGCCTCTCACTCTGGGGCTGTCTGTGGAGGAGGCCCCACCCCACTGAGGCTTCAGGACAATGCTGGGCGTCCATTCACACGAGGTTAGAGAGGTCTGTGCCTTTCAATCCACGCGTCGCTAAACGGGGGTGGAGTGAGAAGATGTTCACTCTAGTATATATTTTTTGTAAAGATTTGTTTTACATGGCATGAGTATTTGGCTTGTGTGTACTTTATGTGTGCCTGGTGCCTCAGGAGGTCAGAAGAGAGTGTTGCACGCCCTGCAACTGGGGTTATAGATAGTTGTGAGCTGCTGGGAACTGACCTGAGTCTTCTGATATATTATAACAGTAAAGCATTAATAATCAGTTAAGGCCGCGTGGTGGTGGTGCACGCCTCTAATCCCAGCACTCAGGGAGGCAGAGGCAGGCAGAACTCTGTGAGTTTGAGGCCAGCCTTGTCTACAAAGCGAGTCTAAGACAGCCAAGGCTACCAGGGGAGGAAAAAAAAAGAAAAAGAAAAAAGAAACCACTTAAGTCATTAGTATGGTTAACACTGGCCCTTTAAAATTTTTAACTAATTAAAATTAAATGAAATTAGACATTCAGTTCTCTGATCACATGGCCCCATGAGGTTAGGAATGTCCATGTCGGACAATACAACTATGGAACATTCACAAGGCAGGAAAAGGCTGTTAAGCACCGAGGTCTCCAATGTTAACATGCTATGCAGGGGCTGGAGAGGACCTCCATCAGTCCAGGGCACTTCCGGCAGCTTCCAGCTCTTGGTGCTGCTGTCCACCATCTGTTCTCAGCGTTCCCGGGTGCCTTCTCCAGTAAGAAAGGTCTGTCTGCTGCAGGCACCGGCTCTGCTGCCCTAACCAGGCTCCCCGATAAAGGACGGAAGCGCAGGGTGTCTCTTTTCTGTATGAGCCATCCTCTGATGGTGCCACAGGTCTAGGAGGATCAGTTTACCTTGTGTGTGTCACTCGGGGCCCGCCCTGCTAAGCAGCACTTAGCCCAGCAGCTCTAATGGGTGGGTTTTGAACCTGCCTTTCCACAAAGCGGTTTATAATTTTCTTTATCTTAGTATCTATTATGGGGTGGTGGTTTGTGTGTGTTTGCTGTTTTTAAAGTGAAGCTGGAACTTAATGATAAGTGGTTCTGAGTCAGATTGCAATCCCACAGTAGACAGGGTTGTGTCTCTGTTGCCAAATTAGCACCTTCCTTTTGGGCTTATTAATGGCTTCTTTGTAATTACAAATAAGGGTGCTCTGTTTAAATTATGCCTTGCAGCTTAGTGTAGGAGAACTATGAACATAGAGGTCTTAAAGGTAATTATCTGCCGGTGTGTTATTAAAATGGGGTGCTTGTAGGTTTGGATTCAAATTGTCACCAGCCCCCAATTTGGGGGCCTCACTATGGACAATCATGGGACCCCTGGGTCCGAAGTCCAGTTACATTCCATGGTGGGCATGAAGTGTGAAAGAGACAGGCTGTGTGACCACACTGATATGGGTTCAGTCCCTTGTCACTTTTCACTTTTGTGACTGACACCAATTTTCTTTACTTTTGTGTATGTGTGTGTATCAGTGTCAGTGTGTTTATTTCTGGCATTGGGGTGTTTGGTGTTTACTCGGGTTGACTCTGTCCGTCTCCACACAGGGCCCAGGCATGGAGGAGCTGATATGGGAGCAGTACACCGTGACCCTGCAGAAGGTGAGTTCTGCACGGTCCGTGCAGCCTCCTCTTGGGCTTGGTGTTGTCACGCTTCATGGATCTAACTCACTCTC